CAAGAGATATGCATATCAGGATTAAATATAACAAATATATAAAAAAAGGACAAAGAATTATATAAGTCAACAAAACGCCTGTAAAACTCCTGGTATTGAAGGCATTCATAAGCTACGGTACAGCTTTCCATCAAGTAGGCCGTATGCTTGTTTGCCACCTCAGTGGTATAAACAAAAGACAGAAACATTCATAGTATAGGAAACAGCGGGCTTAGGTCAAGGATTTATTTAGGTTTTAATCATCTACGTGACTAGATATAGGGATATGTAGATTGATCCTAATCGAAAAAGTAGCCTATGTTTATCCAAAATAATCCTCATAAAACATATATAATTAAATGACGATTAATTATACCGTTGCGGGTCAAAAGCCTAAATAAATTACCAGGTTTACGTAGTAAGGACAGATACATACAACATTTTCATAAAAAAAAAAAACATTTGTTATGAGAAATGTATTGTGATGTATAAATACTTCAAAATAAATTATTTCAATCGTGTGTATGTAATCGGCCTTATTTTGGGCTCAATACGCTGTTATTAAATTATGGTTTACACATTAATGCTTCCTCTTTCATCTTATGATATTAAATGCAATGGATATTGAAGAGATGCATACTGTTTTAAATGTAGTGTAAAAGTTTAATGACGCACACGCAAACATGCACAAGTACACACACGCACAAACGTGATCGTTCACGCTCTCGCACACACACACACACACACACACACACACACGCACGCACGCACGCACGCACGCACGCACGCACGCACACACACACACACACACACACATACACATAAGCACGCACGCACGCACGCACACGCGCGTGTACACACAGAGAGAGAGAGAGAGACACGCGCACACACACGCACACATGCACGCACGAAGCACGCATGTGTTACATGTGACACCCACAGATTCCTTGTATTATATTTGAGGTCGTCGCTCTGTTTAGTAGGGGAAGGGGATTACTATTCGATATCCTGTCTTATCCACTGGTTGATTGTTACAGCTGACCTATTGTCATTTCAAACTGCTTCAGACTATGCTGATGTTTACCTTCAGATACTTTTGTTTTCATTTGCATAAACGACAAAACTTTAAATACTGCTGTCTTACTTATTTTTTCCACTTATTCCGAGGTATTTCAATTATGTACAACATATTGTCAAATATATACATAAATGTGGATTTGCAGAGACTTTAATATGTGATATATCAAGAAATATAGCAAGATCTATATTTATCTCTTTATTATTTATCTATTCTCTTTAAAATTGGCTTCTAATGTAAAATAATTCACAATCTAAGAGATACTTGTTAACTCGTCCTCAAAACAAATAGTAAAACCCGTAAAACAAAACAAGAGAAATGCTCCCTCTTATTGCTTAGCATTGTAATAAAAACCAGGGCTTAAATTAAAACTTGGAATACACGGCGGGCGACCATGTTTTCCATATTTCTACCGCAGGCAGCTACAGTAACACTGATATTGAGAATTCCCAAATATTCTATATAACAATCAAATTGAAAAAAGGAAAAGCCAGTCGAGGAAAAAGGCTCGAGATTAATATAATAATTGAAATCTGACTCGAAATATATTTTGTTGTGCTTATAATACGAATATTTGATGGTAGAACTGAGGCGCCCATCACACATCCCTTAGACTTCAGTATACCATTTTTTTTAATGGGTGACAATAGTATGGTAATCCCGTTTGTGCTATCGGTATACACTGGCGGGGCACCTAATGACTAATGAGGATGAAAGCAGGCCAGTTAGCTCATTCTGACAAATTCAACTACAAGTAACCGCGATGGTTTCCAGGGGGAACCATGTGGAGGTCGATCTGATAGGGTATATTGCTAGTAATGGGGCTATTTGACTTCATTACTAACAATCCCTTTGCCCCATCTCAGTATACCCTAATGGTATTACGAATCGTGTGAGGGTGATTACTCTCTAATATTGACGACATTATAATGTTACCTATATAATGTGTATCGGGGGTAGCCAACTCGTTGATTGCGACTTTTAGTCCAGTCCATCGTGACAAGGCAAAAAATATAAAAATAATAATTTTGCTAATCTAGAAGAAAATGTTTAGACACAATGCTCACACTGATGTAAAAATGTAGTTACTATAATATATATAATATCCATAAAGGAAAACATATATGTTTTCCTTCTTCATAAAATAAAAAAAAATATTACAATACTACATAATTGAATGAATGAATCTGATAATTGTTTCGACTTCATCCGAAATCTTCTTCAGGGTGAGTAGGATGTTTACGCATCGTCTAATTTTGCAATGCGGGCTGCAGCTCGCAAAGTCCATAAAGACAGCGATACTGCCAAGGCGAAGATAACGGTTGTAGCAATTTCTAGGTTACCTTCATTATAAATGAAGACTTCTGAAGTGGCTTACTGGACTTTGTACGTACTTTTCGAAGCAGGAACCAAGCGATAATAATTTTTGAGTGATCCAAATAGGGTTTGTAAAATCCAGAAATTTTGGCTAAAACCCGATCTTTGAATCTCCGGATAGTAAAGTGTAGTTCAGTTGAAATTGTTCAGTTCTATTCAATTGAAATTGAATTGCTCGTGAAAAGTAAGAATCGTCAGCCATAAAGCACATCATATGTTAAACGGTTACCTTAGCCATTAAATGTCTGCCACAACACCAGAGATGACACGGGCGCATTGCCAACCCTTAATAAAAACTTAACTTACTTAGTCTTTAGGGAAAACCTCAACAGGAAGCTCAGTTTTAATGTTCACAAGAGAAAACTTCTCTAAAATTGTTGTTGACACTCCTCTAAAACTTTATAGGCATAAATTTTAAGATGTGGGGATGAATACCCCAACTCTTATTACATAAAAAAAAGAAGGAAAAAAAACTGGCCATGAACGTCAGTCAAACTTCTAAAGGAAACTACTGGCGAAACCCTCCTTATAATGGTAAAGCTGTTCATATACAAGACAGAGACTTTGTACAAAAGTCGTTTACTTGGGCACCGCTGTCCAATTCGTGTTTCTATCGTGAAGCAGTTGTGTTTGCATAGTTGTGTTTCGGTTTGAAGGGTGGGATATGGCAGTGAATTTACAGAGTACAGAGGAATAACACCTGAGTCCTCAGGAATGGCAACGCATGGGGGTATCATGCGCGAAACGGTATACTTTGTTATGTCCATGGTACTGCTCATGTCTATAGGTGACGATTACCACTTTCCATCAGGTGGGCCGTCAGCTTGTTTGCCATTCTAAGTTGCATAAAAAAGTTCAGTAGTGGACAGTCGACAGCTGATATGATAATGCTAAAGAATACCTTCCAACAACTCGATCCGATGAGATTTGAATCCACATCTCTGTACTATCTGGGTTAAGTTACAACCACGGAAAGAATATTATCAGTTATCAGCACTAAGTTGGATATCACTGCTCGATTCGTATTTATGTTGCAAAACAGTTGTAATTGCAGGGCTGTGGTTTGATCAGAAAACCTTAATTTGAAATATTGACAACTAGGTGATCGTAATAACCCGTGTGTTTCTAATATAGAATAAGCCACCCCTTCCTTTCCTGTGAGTGTGGTAAGAGGCGACTAAAGGAGGGCGAGAGATGGACAGCAGCATCCCTCTTAAAACATCTCTAAAGACTAACTGCGGGTGCCAATCCACCTGCCAAGCATGGCAACTATTTACAAAACCTCCCTAGGGGGAGGCTTATGTTCAGCAGTAGACAGTTAAAAGATGATACGACGATGATGAAGTAATTGTAATTACCCTGATACCAGGGGTTATGAGGATCACAACGCATTCTGTGCTGTTAAATCATGCATATTCCAAACAGGTGATCGTTAACACTTTCCATCAGGTAAGCCGTCAGCTTATTTGCCATTCAAAGAGTTTAGAAAAGAGATAAATGAAAAAATACGCCAAGTTCATAGCCACAACGGTAGCGAATTACACAATGATTATATTGTCTTAACAATTTAAGACGTGAACCATTTAGGATCCGCTATGAATTTCTCTGCATACAAAATGTAAGGTTTAACTGAATATAAATAGGTATAACAGTACATCTTTATGAATATTTCATGAGATTTCACATTGAAAGTTTGGAATAAGCCAATATTTAAATATTAAATCGAAATATTACTGCTTAAATTCTGAACACATTTAGTACAAGATCCAGGAATGAAGGTGTAAATTCTCATTTACGTCAGGTATTATAATTCTTACATATTTGATGCTGAGTTTTAGTCTGAAGGTGAGCTAGTATATTCTTTGACATAGATGGTGTAACACCTTTGTGACTGGATTACAATAAAACAGTAGATATATCATTTGAAACTGTATATTTGAATTAATAAAAAAATGTGCTTAAAACGTATAAAAAAAAAAAAATAAAAAAAAATACAAACAAAATTATAATTGGACGTAATTTTACTCGTAATTAGGACTTGGCATAGTCTCCCTCTCATCTCTCATTAAAGACTCTCGACTACGATTAAAATGTACTAATAAAATTCCTTTTAATTGCAATCGAATTTATTCTATTGCATATCCTATTATTAAGGATAAGCAAGCTAAAGTGGCAATGGGCTGGTCACATAGCTCGAAGAACCGACAACCGATGAGGAAAGGTTCTTCAGTGGCGATCGCGTACGATCAAACGCAGTGTAGGATGACCACCCACTACATGGAGTGACGACCTGAAATGCATTGCAAGGAATTAGTGGATGCAAATGGCTCAGGATCGTTCTTTATGGCAGTCTATGGTGGAGGGTTATGTACAGCAGTGGACGGATAATGGCTGAAATGATGATTATATTATTATAATAAGTGCGTAATTTTGTAATAATGGATGAATGTTTGTTACTATTTCATGAATAAATTACTGAATGGATTTGAATAAATATTAGTATATGAATAGGTTATAACTTAATTTATCATACAGGATACTTTATGTTCTTTATGTGCGAGAAAAGCCGCGGGATACTGCTAGTACAATATTGATTCGGAGATATGGATAGAATAATAACATTTTATTGCCTTACAATTACAATATAAAATATAAATAACATATACAAAAAGTGTCACATACTCGTCAAAAGGAACCGGCTCAGTTGAAGCTGTGAGTGTCCCAGCGCAATGTGAACAGCTGCACAGCGCTGGTTTTCAGCCAGTCCCTCTCTTAACAAAACAACCAAAGTGCAGGGTACCACTGTAAATTATAATAATAAATTAAATAGATATAATTAGTGGTATAAAAGATGGGAAGAAAACGAGGTCAACTTTGTGAGAATTTTCTTTCAATACACAAGGAAACTTTTACAAAACCTTTGGGAAACCCTTATGCAAGGACACATTGATTACAAAAAATGTAATGGATACAAAATTAGTAAACAAACATAAAAACATAATAAATATACATAAAACAACAATAAAAAACGAAGAACCTATTGAAGTCGCGAACGGAAACAAAAATCCGGGACAAATTAGCGAAGATCATGTATTTAACAAAGTATTTTTAATAAATAATTACCAATAAAAACAAGCGGATTAATTAAGATATGGGACAAAAATAAAATATTTTCAAATATAACATGTAATTAATTGGTTTTGTAAATTCTTTCCCTCCGGGGATATAATTGAAAACATTTCTGATATTAATTTAAAGCTAATAAATTACCTAGAGAGTATCCTTGGTGCTACTGACGGATCGAGAAAGGTAAAATTGAACGATAATTATTAAGTCTCTTCAAGTGTTTCCTAAATCATTTTATACGTACTTAAAATTTTCAAAAAATTTAAATCAGATATTAATCTATAATTTTTAATATCACTGATATTAAATTTTTGTTTTTAAAACAAGAATTTCCTGATACTTTTGTTTGTTGTTTTTTTAAAGTACTTGCGATTTTTTCTTACTAATTTTGAATCGGTTTTATTAATTCTTTCTCTATCGAGGTTTTCTAGATTTTATTTTATATATAAATTAAAATAATCAAGGTATGAACGTATTGTTCTATATTGTACTAGCTGTATCCCAGAGTTTTGTCCGCGTGATCCATTCAAATGTGACAGTATCACATTCATTAGTTTTTGCGTGAAAAAGTAACAAAAATCCGTTCATCGTTATAAACTTTCACATATTAAATATAAATCTGCCAATTTTGAGAACTAAGACTGTCTCCGTACACAGTAATTTCACTATCATATCTCATGTTTTGACATTACAAAAACATGACTGGGACAGAGGTGAGAAGTAAGAAGAAGAAGAAGCAGATGTTTTTTGTATTAAACAAAGTTCCATTTTGGTAAAAGATAATTTTAATTTATAATTGTTTCCATGGGGAACCACGGGAATTAACCTGAAAGGGTAGTTGGCTTTATTTGTCATTTTATAACCCATTAACGACTTAATCAATCATTTAACAATTTGGTATACACCCACTATATGGGATGGAGATGAACTATTTTTTATCCCGGTCAGTAAGTTGCGGGTAAAAGCGAGTATTGTAATGTAATGTAATGTAAATTGGACTCTCTTTTCCGCGCTTAGCCTCTCATTTGGGCCATTATGCGTATGAAAAAAAAAAAGTGATAATCTGCTGAACTACTCCTTCCTTTCCAGTGGGTGTTGTAAGAGGCGACTGAGGAAATTTATTGGTACAGGTTAGGACAGCAGCGTCCCTCTTAAAACATCACCAAATTCTAACTACGGTTGCCAACTCGCTTACCAAGCGTGCAACTAACTACTGGCAAAACTCTCCCTTATGGGGGAGACCTATGTTTAACAGTAGGCAGTTAATGGCTTATACAATTCAGATATAATTACATTCTATTAATAAAATTGAAAAAATAGTACGATAATAAAGAGCTACAAAAGGTACTACTAAGGCTTTAGCGAAAAGCAAAAGGCGTAATAATCCACAACATAGCTTATAATGAAGGTAAAAACCTTTTAGTGAACATGTAAAGGGTTAAGTCGCGTGTCACAACGACGGTTTGTGGCACATTTTAAAATTTCCACTAAGAAATTCAAGGGATTCATTTAAAAAGTCGACGGTTTAATTGCGGTACACAGGGCATAATGAAATGTGGCCTCTTGGGCCATAGAGGTCGCCTTTTGATTTATTTATTCAATATAATTATAATTAAAGTACAGTGCGGTTTCAAAAGACTTTATTCCCGCTCAGGCTTTGGAATAAGCACCCTGCCGAGGTCATTCCTAGTAACAGTGTGCAGTTCTTGAAAAAGTTTATATTAAGGTTCCTTCAGGGTTGGTAACGCGCACGTGTCACCCCTGCTGTTGCAGGCGTCCATAGGCTACAGTGACTGTTTACAAGTACAATCAGACGGGCTGTATGCTTGTTTTTTACCTTGATGGTACTAATACGACATCAAAATCTTCAAGAAAAGAGCACATACCTTTTTAAAAGACTGGCTGCACACTTGCAATGCATTTGATGTCGTAGATGATCATGGGCGGTGGTAGTCACTTACCATCAGGTGAGTCAAGCTCGTTTGCCTCCTGTGTTATAAAAAAAAAATGTAAGAAATTAATCAATATTGTTCATACCAATACAAGTCCATGCGACATACCAGCATAATTATAGCGGCTCGCATAATACTACCCTACGAATTTTTGATAATTCTATTTGCGCGATATAAATAACATTGCTACGTGATTCCTTGAGAGAAACACTGTTACATGTTCTATTACGTTCTTATATATATATATACTAGATTTGTAAGATTTAGAAATATCGAAGATAAAATTATAATTGCATCAACCGGAGTTGTTATTTATGCCGCATCTAACATATTACAAATTTTAAATTAAATTTATTTCTTTATTTATTCGATTGTTTATTGTCTCTTTGCGCTTTAGCAATCCAACAATTTACCATGAAAATTGTTACACAAGTGGTATTTGTAATATTGATTGCCATAATATATTCTAGACATGGGACAAAGTCACGGGTAAAATATAGTATTATAAATGTGAAACTAAATTTGCTTTTTACATTATGGCACTATTATGGTTTAACTAAATGTGAACTTGAGTAAAGTTTATTAGTTAAGTTTAAATTAAGTGTAATATTTATAACGGAGAAAGAAATAGGCTGCTTTTTATTTCGGGCAATCAAGATAATCTCGGGGACATGATGAAGTCGTAAAAGTTAGGATAAAACTGTCAGTGTAGTACCAGAGCACCAGAGTGTCTTTTTTGCATATACTAGCATAAAATAGTAATCTATGTAATAAACTCGAATAATATAGTATATCTAAATCTAATGAGATAAATGCCATGTAGGTCTCGGGATAGAATAGGCCACTCCTTCCTATCCTGTGGGTGTCGTAAGAGCCGATTAAGGGAGGGCGAGGGATAGGCAGCAGCGTCCCTCTTAAAACAACTCTAAATTTTGACTGCGGTTGCCAATCCGTCTGTCAAGCGCGGCAACTACTTGCAAACCCCCCTCAAGGGGGAGACTTATGTTTAGCAGTGGACGGTTAAAGGCTGATATGATAGATAGATAGATAGATACCTTTTATTGCTTCTTCCATAGGATTACAATAGTAAACTTATTATAAGTACAACAAACAATTACAAGAAAATTTTACAATAAAAAGACAATGGGCGACCTTATCACTAAGATTATGTACGTGATTAAAAAGGCAACTACATAATCGAGCTAGTGGAAGTTGATTCCTAAAAAGAATCATGAAAATCCATCCAAAATTAGCAACGTGCCAGTATTTACAAAAAAAAGAGGAATCAAACAAATCGAAAGCCCCTTTTACTTCGAAAGTCGCTTAAGAGCTCTATGTCGGATTACGTTTGTTAGTATTCATTTTTTTATGACGATAATTCCATCTAAGGTTACTCAGACTTTGATGTGAACATATCAAAGGAGAGTTAAATCGATTAAACCGATCATAAGCATGCACGGATTATGGAATATATTTATTGGATATTTCAAATTATTTGAGGCTGGCTTCAGCGTAATTCATATGAAACATAATCGGCTGACAGTGTATTATGTTATATTATAATTAAGATTGACGTGTTATGTACACTTTTGATTAAATATTAATACAATGTTACTACATCGCATAGTAGTGCTCGCTACTCCGTTAAGATATAAATATACTATTTATTTATTTAAACTTCAATGTACAATTATGCAATACAAGTAAATGTACATATGGCGGATTTAACACTTTATGGCGTTCTCTACAAGTTAATCATTAGGCAAACAGAAAATTAAGTAGGCGGTGCATTTACTAAAATGTTATTAAACTAAAATTTTTTTTTTTACTATTGAAAGATACCTTAAAAAATTATATACATATATGAATGGAAATTTTATTGAAGAAAATAATAAATTGTAGGCGTTGATTATAAAGTAATATTTTTAATATTTACATTTTATATACTAAACAGATTTTTTATTAAAAAAAAAAAATAAAATAAAATAGAATAGCACATTGGCTTCTGGTGATGTTTTAAGAGAGACACTGCCGCCCATCTCTCCACCATAAGCTCACTTAGTCGCCTCTTACAACATCCACGGGAAAGAAAGGGGTAGCTAATGAGGGAGGCTAGCTTCTATGTAGGGACCTACACGGTTACATGGCTATGTAATATGTCAAAGGGTATTTATCATCATCATCATCATTTCAGCCATTATTCGTCCACTGCTGGACATAAGCCTCCCCCATAGACTGCTATAAAGAACGGTCCTGAGCCACCTGCATCCACTGACTTCCTGCAACGCGGTCACCACTCAAGAACTTTTCTTTCTTTATATATATATAGGGGGTTAGCAAACGCAGTTAGACTTTGGTGATATTTTAAGAGGGACGTTTTTGCCTATCCTTCGACTATTAAGTTCCCATAGTCGCTTTTACGACACTCACGGGAAAGGAAGAGGTGGAACACCTATATGCCAGGACTACACAGTATCACACAGTACTATGTTAGTATGTAATTATGATCAGTTTATGTACAAGGATTCATTCAAATCCGTTCATCCATTTAAGCGTGACTAAATAAGAAACATCCAAAAAATATTTACGAACTTTTACATTTATAAAATTAAGATAGATAATCTTTTGTGAACAGGAAAATTAAAACGTGACAATCGATTTTTCTATAGAATTCCAGAAGATATTAAAACCTTCCGCGCAATACTTTTGACAAACAAATAAATGGGGTTCTTCAAAAGGGGGTAAAGAGGTTTCTTCAGGGTCGGCAACGCGCGCGTAATACCTCTGGTATTGCAGGCGTTCATAGGCTACGGTAACCGCTTACCATCAGGTGGGCCGTATGCTTGTTTGCCACCTCAGTGGTATAAAAAAAAAAAAAAAAAAAAAAAAAAAATGAGAATCTCTTATTGATACTATTAGAAAAAGCACTCGAATAAAAACTCTTTAGAAATAAAACTATAAAAAGAAAGAAAGAAGAATAAAATAATTTATTCAAAGTATCATGCGAATCACATAGTAGGATACAAAATAAGCACAAAAAAACAACGAAAAAAACAATAGTATACAAAATAAAAAACGTCTACCGTTTTCTGCTCATTTGATTCTAGTCTAGATTCAAGTCTAAATTTAAAAATAAACAGTGAGACTACTCTTGAATTTAATATCGATTTCAATATAAAAAAATTATAATGTTGTTATAATATTTGGTATTTTAGTGTTATAAACAAAGAAATGTGGTCACCGTGTAACCTCGGCGTAGAATACGTCACCATTTCGTTCTCCGTGAATGTCTAAAGAGGCGACTATAGTACATTACTGTAGCGGCCAGTAACTGAGGCATTGATGGATGAACGTGCAAATGTGAGCCGAGGCGTAGCCGAGGCACACATACGTGAATCCATTAATGCCTAGTTGTGGCCAAGGCTTGTATAGTATTTTTATCAAACAATGCGCGGAAATCAAAAACACAATTTTACTTTTTAAGTTCAATGGCGAATAACGAACAATAATAATTTTGACGCGCCATAATGTTCCTTTGTTTTTTTTTTTCAATAAACAGTTTTCTATTTGCAAGCTAGTTCGAAATTTAAATAAAACCTTTTATTAGTTACCTCCTTACTAGCCACGCTTGGAAGTAAAAGGTCATTCCATTTTTAAATTACAGGACAGATATGAGTTTACATAGTAATTTATCTGGCCGCAAAACACGACAGATATGGATTTTCATACAACTTTTGCCGGCCGCTGCCCGCATGTATCTGGGCAGTACGGCAATTTTGATTTATCTCGAAGAAGATTGTCAAAATAATGCTCACACTTCCAAGCATGTTTGAGAAAAGGGAATTTAATGGTCGAGGGATGGACAGCAGTGTCCCTTTTAAAATACCACTAAAGCCAAACTGAGGTTACCTCCTACAAGATTAATGGTGTGAGCGAAAGTAAGAAAAGTAAGTATTACAAAACAGAAAAAAAAAAGCAAAAAAGAAGTGAACAAACAAAATATGTAACAAAACGTAAAATATGAACAAGTAAAATTAAAAAAGAAACCAAAAAGGTGCGTAGTGTACAAATGGGAAAGGAAGAAGTGGCCTATTCTATGCCGGGACCACACGGTACATAAGTGTGGCATTTATTTATTTTTTTATTTATCTTATTCATTTATTTATCTTTAATTATAAAATAACCAACAGAAACTACAAGTCTCGATTATAGCGACATCTGTTTTTATATTTTCTTCATCTATTTCATGCCAAATTTTGTTTAGTATATATATATATATATATATATAATGGATAACCATAGCTTAGGCATATACTTTATTTATAAAAAAATCTGCAAAAGATAAAAGGTGAGGTGCCTCACCATCAGGAGAGGGGTCCAAGCCTCAAGTGACCTAGGGGTAATCGCCCCTAGAGTAAAGGGGTCCGCCCTGAGATCCCCACCTAACCCTCCCAAGAGGGTTCAGATGACCTTGATTGATTGATTGATTGACCAATCACCTTAACATTTCCTCGCCAATAAAATGTGATTTCTCCATGAACAAATAAATATAATCCGAAATTACACGTCTAAAGGAAATTATTGGTATCGCCAATCAATTTATCGAAGCAAATATTGATTGTAGCGTTTCCCACTGTTCAATCAATAGCACGTCACTCTTAGGTGACCTTTGTTTCTTTCAGACAAACAGTTGCACGCTTCGTGGACATTTGGTGGTCCGTTTGTACGTACTTAATCGTACAGCTGGCGTTTTATTTATTTGTTTTTTTTTTTTTATACAACTTAAAATGGCAAACAAGCTGATGGAAAGTAGTAATCGTCGTCTATAGACATGAACAGTACCATGGACATAACAGAGTATACTGTTTCGCCCATGACACCCCCATGCGTTGCCATGCCTGAGGACTCAGGTGTTATTCCTCTGTATCCTGTTAATTCACTGCCATATCTTATTGTTTGCTTATATATATATATATATATATATATATATATATATGAATAATTAAAAATATTTAAAACTTTCACTTGTCAGCTTAA